TTTCTGTTGGGAATGCGCACATTCCCACGATTACTCATCTTATAGAAAGGCCCGCGAGTGCAACTTACGCCGCTATTATGAGAGCGTGCCGTGACTATCGATTTTTCCTCATAGCTGATGGGTCCCATATCACTGAAGCCCGCTCATGGAGCGGGCTGAATAAATACCCCCCAGCTTCTGATAAGAGTGATTTGCTGTAAAGTGTTTCGTCTGAGTACACACCCTCTCTCTGCCCGACTGGTCTTCTCTCTTCTCTCGTACGGGCTTTGGAAACTGGGATCGGCTAATTCACCGTTCGTGTTAATTAAAAGTACCAGGCGAGGGTCGAAACAGTTTCAAACATTAAAAATTTCTCAGCTGCCTGATGAATAGGCTATCGACGTTCGGTTGAGTCACCCAAAAATAATGCAAACTAGACTAAAATATGACAGAAGGAAACTTTGTGCAGAATGACCATGGGAGAAAGGAGTAGTAGTACAGATCATCGAGAAATATTCCAAAATGTTTCCTCGGAAGAGCTCACTTGATTAGGTGGAGTAAATGGCCCCTCAGTATGAATGTGTTGGGAAGGCGGAGTTATGAATGCGAAAATCAAATTTAGAAGAAAAGGCGTTAACGTACTCGGGGTTTTGCGGAGGCTGTTGAGGGACTTGTTTGCGAGTCCAGCCCGTAGTGATTGGCTCTACACCGAAACCAGGACGACTAAAGAGATAGAAGAATGAGTCAATGGAGCTGCGGACCAAACAAGACGGCAGCAAAAAGTTGCTTGCATGACAAAACTTACTTCTGTCGAAAGCCACCACCAGTTTCAAACCCACCACGGCCGCGGGCAAAGGACGGATGCGCTCTAGGCAAACAACAACAACCGAATGTGTTCGGTCAATGTTGAAGATACACGAGCCGGCTAACTGCAAATTATCATATGCAGGTACTAGGAACCAGTATCACGTTTTCTCAGAAGTATGCATTCTACTCTTATCAGTGTTCAGTCAAATTTCAATCACTAGGACAGATTTTTAGTTTTGAAATTACGAAACCATCTGAGTGGGAAGACATAGTAAGTGAAGGGGTCAGTGTCAAACTGTCTTCCGTCTTAAATGTAGACATTTAAGGATTCAATTTTAATTAGTATGTCGAACTGACTTTGCTTTAATCCATCAAACATCCTATTGAAAGAAAATTTAGCTACCGCAGGCGTCTCAAAAACGGACAAAAATCCTAAAACAATGAGCAAAATTTCGCTGGATAGGAGGAGGTGAAAGGATTTAGTTACTTGATCAAGTTAGTCGAGGTACACAAGCAGTGCAGGTAGTGGTTGGGGGCTTAAACTAGGCAAGAAGATGAATGTCACGAGATGATGACACAAAGAATTCGTCTCTAGGACTGTGGACTCTT